GCCCAGTCATCGCTGTAATAGTGTGACCGGGCCCCTTTAAAAAAAAATGCAGCCGGAAAGCAAGTACTGTTGGGAGGAAGTGACGTCTCGTCACTTCCTCCCAGTTTACTCGGCACGGGAAGGAAGAGAGAAAGGCCGCGAGGAGAGGCAGCCGACTCACATCATCCTCAGCCACCCTCCTGCGACGAAATGGTAAGGCTGAAAATGAGGTGTGTATATATGTATGTGAGTATGTGTATGTATGTGTGTATGCCAGTGTATGTATGTGTGTATGCCAGTGTATGTATGTATGTATGTCAGTGTGTGTACGTATTTATGCCAGTTTATGAATATATGCCAGTGTATGTATGTATGTATGCCTATGTAAGTATGTATGTATGCCAGTGTATGTATGTGTGTATGCCAGTGTATGTATGTGTGTATGCCAGTGTATGTGTGTATGTATGTATGTCAGTGTATGTATGTATGTATGTATGTGTGTACATATGCCAGTGTATGTGTATCTGTATGTTTGCCAGTGTATGTATGCATGTATGTATGTATGCCAGTGTATGTATGTATGTATATATGTATGTATGTATGTATATATATATATATGTATGTATATATGTCAGTGTATGTATGTATGTATGCCAGTGTATGTATATCTGTATGTATGCCAGTGTATGTATGTAAGTATGTATGCCAGTGTATGTGTGTCTGTATGCATGCCAGTGTTTGTGTGTCTGTATGCATGCCAGTGTATGTGTGTCTGTATGTATGCCAGTGTATGTGTGTATGTATGTATACCAGTGTGTGTATGTATGTATGCCAGTGTGTGTGTGTGTGTATGCCAGTGTATGTGTGTGTGTATGTATGCCAGTGTATGTGTGTATGTATGCCAGTGTGTGTGTATGTATGTATGTATACCAGTGTGTGTATGTATGTATACCAGTGTGTGTATGTATGTATGCCAGTGTATGTATGCCAGTGTATGTGTGTATGTATGCCAGTGTATGTGTGTATGTATGTGTGGCGGAACCAACCTCGCCACTATGCACTGGAGAAGCCTGGTTGCTCGCCTGCTCCCATTTGATTATGGCCCTGCAGTTCAGAGCTGTTATTTTCCCTACTGAAAGGTTTATTCGTGCCTTTCTGCCAGGGTGTTCGGTAGATTCCATCTACCGAACAAACTACTGAACGATGGACCACCTGGGAGCTGGAGTGTGCTGTCAATTGACCGCCCAGAAGCTGCGGTTAACCGCAGCTTAATTGATGAACGCTGGGTGTCCTTTGTTCGTCTGCCGAACACGTGGCAGCGGCCATTTTACCTCCCGAACGGCCAGCGGTGTTCAGCGCTCAAACTATGGAACTGAAAACGGACACTTATTCGCGCGAACACCGCTGAGCCGCCAACCTCCTTACCTTCCCATTCGGTAAGTAGAACCGAATGACTGTTCATTTCGTAGTTTCGCCGGATGAACAGCATCCCCCAGATAGCTAAGCCATGGAGCCTATTCGTGTAACGAAAGACTATGGGAAAGACTTTGGCTCCATGGCGATTGAACTGTATGTATGTGATCTCAGCGCCATTCGGTAGTAATGTGCGCTCAGATCTAAGCTATCTGGGATATGTAGAATGTATATGTTTTAGGTAATAAATGTGACTGTATGTAATTTTATGTCTTTTACTGTATTGTTACTGCCATGTGGTTAATGGAGTTTTGCCTCTGTCCTGGAAGATAATTGGATTACTTCCCAATTATCTCCAGGACAGAGAGGAGGGATTGTGATGTAATTGTGGGTGTGTTTAAAGGTGTATGTATGTGACTGGCTAAGAGCCAATATGTGTCCCAGTTTCCCATTTGGTCCCCTAGGGGAGTGTCCACCAGGTGGGAGACCTGCATAAAAGCTGGGCAGTTAGCCCCAGTAAACCAGATTCTGCTTGACTCTCAAAACGAAATGTCGTCTCGTCTTTGGGGGGATTTACTGTATGCTGTTAGAGACTGATTGCCAGGAGTGTAAGCCGCTTGGGGGCTTTTCCTGTTCGTCTGCTAACAGCTATTTGTGTGTCTCCAGTTCGGCTGTTTCCAGTGTTCGTGTGTTTGCAGTTCGGGAGTTGGTGAATTCGTGGGTTTCCATTTCGGGAGATTGGTGCTTGCAGTACCTGTCTGTGCAGCTGAGAAAGGGGAATATCGCCTAAATGTTTTTTATCCTCTTGTGGGCAAAACGGTCTGTTACAGTATGTATGTATGTATACCAGTGTGTGCAGTGGCGTACACACCATGGTCGCAGGGGTCGCGGCTGCGACCGGGCCCGGCCCACCAGGGGGCCCGGCTGCCCCTGCGACCCGGTATGTACCCACAGGGCCAGCCTCTTCCCCTGGGGGGCCCAGGAGCCGACCACCCCAGGGCCCCCCGAGGCTGGCCCTGCTAACCCGGGCGGGTGGGTGGCCGGTCGGGCAGGCGGGCACGCGAGGGAGCACTCAGGGCTTCCTCTTCAGCTCCCTCGCGCACCGCACTGATACCGGAGCCGGAAGATGACGTCATCTTCTGGCGCCGGCATCCCTACGCGGCGCGCGAGGGAGCTGAAGAGGAAGCACTGAGTGCTCCCTCGCGCGCCGCCTGCCCGACCGGCCACCCGCCCAGGAGCCCAGCAGCACCACTGGAAATCCCCCCAGCACTCCAAAAGGTAAGGAGGCTGGGGGATTCAATTTAAAAAAACATGTTTGAGTGTGTGTGAGTGTTAGTGTGAGTGTTAGTGTGAGTGTTAGGAGTGAGTGTTAGTGTGTGTGTCTGCTAGTGAGTGTTAGTGTGAGTAGAGTGCTAGTGTGTGTGTCTGCTAGTGAGTGTTAGAGTGAGTGTTAGTGTGTGTGAGTGTTAGTGTTAGAGTGAGTGTTAGTGTGTGTGTCTGCTAGTGAGTGTTAGTATGAGTGAGTGTTAGAGTGAGTGTTAGTGAGTGTTAGTGAGTGTTAGTGTGAGTGTTAGTGTGTGTGTCTGCTAGTGAGTGTCAATGAGTGTGTTACTGTGTATGTCTTACTGAGTGTGTGTGTTAGTGAGTCTGTTTGATGTCTGTTAGTGAGTGTGTGTTTGTCAATGAGAGTGTATGTTTTGTAAGTGAGTGTGTATGTATGTCTGTCGCTGACTGTGTCTCTGTCAGTAAATGTGTGTGTCTGTTAGTTAGTGTGTATGCGTCTGTAAGTGTGTGTGTGTGTGTGTGTCTTCAGCACTTACCTTTCTCCAGCGCCGGACTCCCTTGGCGCTGAGGATCCCTCAGCCTCTCAGCTCCGAATGCGACCGCGCACGCATTCAAACCGCCCATAGGAAAGCATTACTCAATGCTTTCCAATGGACGTTCAGTGTGCTCCTCTAGCGGCTGTCAGTGAGACAGCCACTAGAGGCTGGATTAACCCTCAGTGAAACATAGCAGTTTCTCTGAAACTGCTATGTTTTCAGCTGCAGGGTTAAAACTAGAGGGACCTGACACCCAGACAACTTCATTGAGCTGATGTGATCTGGGTGTCTGCAGTGGTCCTTTAAAGGACCACTATAGTGCCAGGTAAACATACTCGTTTTCCTGGCACTATAGTGCCCTGAGGGTGCCCCCACCCTCAGGGACCCCCTCCCGCCCGGCTCTATAAAGGGGAAAAGGGGTAAAACTTACCTTTTTCCAGTGCTGGGCGGAGAGCTCTCCTCCTCCGATCCTCCTCTTCTCCTCCCCGTCGGCTGAATGCGCACGCGCGGCAAGAGCTGCGCGCGCATTCAGCCGGTCACATAGGAAAGCATTCATAATGCTTTCCTATGGACGCTGGCGTGCTCTCACTGTCAATGAGACAGCCGCTAGAGGAAATAGGGGAAGGCTTAACCCATTGTTTATGAAAAAATGGGTTAACCCTAGCTGGACCTGGCACCCAGACCACTTCATTAAGCTGAAGTGGTCTGGGTGCCTAGAGTGATCCTTTAAGTGTGTGTGCATCTGCATGCACTGGCGTACATACCGCGGTCGCAGCCCTGTAACCCCTGCGACCAGGTGCCCACCGCCATGTGTTGCGGCCCGGCCCGCGCGTGGGGGGGCCCACAGATCAATTTTCGCACCGGGGCCCCATGGGTGATGTGTACGCCACTGAGTGTGTGTATGTATGTATACCAGTGTGTGTCTGTATGTATGTATGCCATTATGTGTCTGTATGTATGTATGCCAGTATGTGTATGTATGAATGCCTGTATGTATGTATGTATGTATATATGTATATATCAGTAGCAGTATGTGTATGTATGTTTGTCAGTATGTATGTCTGCATGTATATGTGTGTGTGTGTGTCAGTATCTCCCTATGCATGTGTGTATGTCTGTTTCAGTATTTGTATCTGTTAGTGTGTGTGTATTCCTGTGGGCGGGATTTGGAGGCGGGCACTGTGGGCGGGCTTGAAGGGGGGCCCAGACCTTGAGCTGTGTTAGGGGCCCCAAAATTTCTGATGAGCAACCTGTCCATCCGGGACAGAATTGGTAAGACAAAGGGATAGGCTGCCCAGTGGTCTGGATCTGCCCATTAATGTCTGGACTGTTCCAAAAGTGGATGGCCAGTCTGACTAACAGCCTGCTGCCTCAAGGCATGTGGTCCCAGTGTCCTGTTCACTTCTGCATCCTGAAATCTTTTCGACAGAATAAAACGCTGGGAAGTTTGAGAATGCAGAGCAGATCCCTGGGACCAAGGATCCGTGGGACCTTCTATAATATATGAGCTAGGAGATTTCGTATAGCTGAAATGAAATCTCCCAGCTCATATATTATAGCAGGAATGTCCTGGGTGCACATTTGCAAACTGATACATTTTGGACTTATTTGAACTATTATATGTATACAATTAATTGTATACTAATTTGGACATTTATTGATATATCCACTTTATGATCTGTATATTGTCATTGCCTTGTGTATTTTAGCAACTATTTTTTTAATTTTACTATTCTCCCTAACTCACTGTTTAGTTGATCAACCACGTTGACATTATTTATATATAGACTGCTGGTTTTAGGTTTGAGAATATATTTATGACAAATTATTTTTTATCCTACTTTACCAAGCATTTATTTGTCAAAGTTAAAACCATTCATGTCCACTTTGCTCTGCATACATTTAACATTCCAAATAGTGGTGGTCTATTGCCATTTAACTCTTTTAGAAACTAAAGCCTATTATATGCCTGTCATTGCCAAGTTTCTGCAGGCTAGTTTATGTCAACAGACTAAATTATGAGCAGGGCTAAACACTCGAACGATCAATACCTAAAGAAATATTTGTAGGTAAGAAAAATGTTCCATTACCCTCTTCTGGTGAATCTGTCACAAGCCTCACCTATTCCGGCGGTTTTAGAAGTTCCAGCACTGTGTACTGTATATAAAATATAAGCCCTGGTCATCACACATCTGCATGTCACGAATAGTGAAAATTGGCAAATAACCCTCGACTGTCAATCAATCCAGCTCCGGATGTCGGGTCGGCAGAGAGTTTAATGTGATATCTTTTGTATTTTTGTTTCACTCCAACCTACGGACTTGTTATTAACACCCCTGAAACACTAATGTAACCTAATAGTCATATCCTGCTCATAGAATACAATGAAAACTTCCCTTACCAGGCTGTTTGCATTCCATAATAATTACCAGCCCTGCCATGACCCTCATTTAGCTTATTATGGAGCAATATGTTAATATGCGTATGGAGGGGAGGCAGCTATTGACAACTGATATAATGCGACACAACAGGATGCTTTGTTATTAGGCAGCTGCTGGTCCGTTCGGTCAGGACACGCCGTCATTACCTCCCAATGTGCAAATTATTTTGCTTAGAATCCTGCGTAAATGTCCGCTCATTGCAATCACACACAGCCTAGTTCTATTCCTGTACTGCAGACAGTTCCTATTATCTTAATTTTGTTGATATCACCACAAAGATTTTTTTCCAGTGAAAATAAATTAACTTCTCTATTTGCCAAGAACATTACTGAGGGATTGTCACATTATTGTTTTTGGTCCTATTAAGGTAGCAAATAAACTAGCATACAGAACTACTGTTTTCTGTACCACAGCTCTGTTCACAGTTTATATACAGATATGGATTTACTTCTATACACAGAGTCTGTCCATGATATATTTAGAGTTTATATACAGAGTTTGCTCATCATATAGTTACATTTTATATGTAAGACCCACTCATGATATAATTATGGCTAAATACCAGTGGCATAGAAATTGGGTGGTGATGGGTGGGAGGGGGTGCACAGAGCATGTGTCTTCCACCAGCCAACTCCTGTCAAACTAGGTAGATGATAAAGTAGATCCTCTATCGTGGTCCACAGAGCACATTGTTCCAATTTTCTGAGGTTTGATGGGTACCTTTTCCCAGCTGTGAGTTTCAGATCTTTCCACAGATGTTCAATGGGATTCAGATCTTGATTTGTAGAAGGCCACTTCAGAATGGTCCAACGTTTTCTTCTTATTTATTATTGGATGCTTTTTGATGTGTGTTTTGGGTCATTATCTTGCTGGAGGACATGTGACAGAGACATAGCTTTCTGACACTGGGCAGTGCGTTCACTCCAAAATACCTTGCTAGTCTTCTGATTTCATTGCACAGTGCAATGATTCCCAGCACCCTGTCAGGATATTCAATGACCCAACACGAAGTGTTTAAGTTAATATGTAAACTGTTAATTGATATATGTACTACTGGACCTCGGAGTTGCCGGTCTTAACGTATAAAGAATGGTCAGGAACAAGCCAGGTCAGGGATACAGAAAAAGACAATAATGAAAAGACTAGCCAATAGATCATGGATACCAGAAATAAAAATAATCATAAACAAGTCAAGGTTAAAATACCAGATAGAAACACAAGATCAACACACTCTCTGATAACAAATAAATGAACAACAGGTCACAAATAAAAAATGTTTTGAGTTTAAATAGCCCTATGAGGGCAAGGATTGGTCAGAACCGACCTTGTGATCCTTAAACATGCGTGAGCTTTGATGTGATGAGGCACGCACATTTTCGTTATTTTCATAGTGCTCAGAGGCTAGGTTATACAGGGAGTGCAGAATTATTAGGCAAATGAGTATTTTGACCACATCATCCTCTTTATGCATGTTGTCTTACGCCAAGCTGTATAGGCTCGAAAGCCTACTATAAATTAAGCATATTAGGTGTTGTGCATCTCTGTAATGAGAAGGGGTGTGGTCTAATGACATCAACACCCTATATCAGGTGTGCATAATTATTAGGCAACTTCCTTTCCTTTGGCAAAATGGGTCAAAAGAAAGAATTGACAGGCTCAGAAAAGTCAAAAATAGTGAGATATCTTGCAGAGGGATGCAGCACTCTTTAAATTGCAAAGCTTCTGAAGCGTGATCATCGAACAATCAAGCGTTTCATTCAAAATAGTCAACAGGGTCGCAAGAAGCGTGTGGAAAAACCAAGGCGCAAAATGACTGCCCATGAACTGAGAAAAGTCAAGCGTGCAGCTGCCACGATGCCACTTGCCACCAGTTTGGCCATATTTCAGAGCTGCAACATCACTGGAGTGCCCAAAAGCACAAGGTGTGCAATACTCAGACATGGCCAAGGTAAGAAAGGCTGAAAGACGACCACCACTGAACAAGACACACAAGCTGAAACGCCAAGACTGGGCCAAGAAATATCTCAAGACTGATTTTTCTAAGGTTTTATGGACTGATGAAATGAGTGAGTCTTGATGGGCCAGATGGATGGGCCCGTGGCTGGATTGGTAAAGGGCAGAGAGCTCCAGTCCGACTCAGACGCCAGCAAGGTGGAGGTGGAGTACTGGTTTGGGCTGGCATCATCAAAGATGAGCTTGTGGGGCCTTTTCGGGTTGAGGATGGAGTCAAGCTCAACTCCCAGTCCTACTGCCAGTTCCTGGAAGACACCTTCTTCAAGCAGTGGTACAGGAAGAAGTCTGCATTCTTCAAGAAAAACATGATTTTCATGCAGGACAATGCTCCATCACACGCGTCCAAGTACTCCACAGTGTGGCTGGCAAGAAAGGGTGGCCAGACGGAACGCTGGCACCGACCGAGTATCACCTCCCGCCCAATCGGCTCCTAGTGCTCGCTGAGGACTCCAAGCACTCCAACCGGCCACCATCAGCACTGCAGACCCCACTTCCAGCGATGCAACCGCGCCGTTTTTGCTGTCTCCACCCACCCTGACCCAAGGCCAGGGATCCAGCTTCCAGTGGGTGAACCTCTCTTTCTCCAGAGCAGGAACAGGAACAAAGCTCTTAGCAGAACTTAGTGATCATACCCTGGGGAGTATATAGTACTATAGCAGTCCCCAGAGTGTAGGTATCCCTTCCAAACATGAGCCAAGGCTTAATGCTGAACAAGACTGGATTTACTGGCACACAGAATTCACAATTTATGCAACACAAAACTCCTCCTCTGGGCCAGGCTAGATAATTGAGTTTCTACAATACACAAAGCTCAATTATCTGCTGGCCAGAAACATTACAATTTCATAAAACACACAGGGACCCCAAAACATGCAATAACCCCATAAAAAGTATATCCTTGGAACCGGGGGATCTGGGTGAACCACATATCCAATATTCACCCAGATCCGTTCAGTACTTTGGAAAATACAGTTTAATGCAGATTCTGCAGAACATATACAGGCTAAATGAAAAACAATTGCTGTATAATGTGTCCCTTGCTGTATAGTCCAAAACCACTGCACTATGTCTCTGTGCACCAAATACTGGCGAGATGGCACCGTGTTGAAAAGTCCAAACAGTGTCTGTGAGTTAAAATGGCCGCCATCCATTGTTCTCACCATGTACTTCTGATACAGGAAATGGTGGCCACCCAGTAACTCCACAGTATGTCCCCAGATGGTTCTTAAAGGGCCAGCAGCAGCACAACACAAATCCATTATACCCAAATCATGTCTTTAAAGGGCAATACATCCCAGGGGCCATAGTCACAGGGCAAGAGGCGGGCAAGCAGTCCTCTCCAGGCACAAGTGGCGAAGGGCACTTCACAGGTATAAAAGAAGAAAATCTACGACATGGCCTCCTTGTTCACCTTGATCTGAACCCCATTGAGAACCTGTGGTCCATCATCAAATGTGAGATTTACAAGGAGGGAAAAACAGTACACCTCTCTGAAACAGTGTCTGGAGGTTGTGGTTGCTGCTGCACGCAATGTTGATATAGAACAGATCAAAACACTGACAGAATCCATGGATGGCAGGCTTTTGAGTATGTCCTTGCAAAAGAAAGGTGGCTATATTAGAAACACATAGAAACATAGAAACATAGACGTGACGGCAGATAAGAAACTATTCGCCCATCTAGTCTGCCCACTTTTCTAAATACTTTTATTAGTCCCTAGTCTTATCTTATAGTTAGGATAGCCTTATGCCTATCCCACGCATGCTTAAACTCCTTTACTGTGTTAATCTCTACCACTTCAGCTGGAAGGCTATTCCATGCATCCACTACCCTCTCAGTAAAGTAATACTTCCTGATATTACTTTTAAACCTTTGCCCCTCTAATTTAAGACTATGTCCTTGTTGTGGTAGTTTTTCTTCTTTTAAATATAGTCTCCTCCTTTACTGTGTTGATTCCCTTTATGTATTTAAATGTTTCTATCATATCCCCCGTCTCGTCTTTCCTCCGCTTTTCATATTGGTCACTGATTTGTTTTTGTTTTGTTTTTGAATGTCAGAAATGTATATTTGTGAATGTTGAGATGTTATATTGGTTTCACTGGTAATAATAAATAATTGAAATGGGTATATATTTGTTTTTGTTAAGTTGCCTAATAATTATGCACAGTAATAGTCACCTGCACACACAGATATCCCCCTAACATAGCTAAAACTAAAAACAAACCAAAAACTACTTCCAAAAATATTCAGCTTTGATATTAATGAGTTTTTTGGGTTCATTGAGAACATGGTTGTTGTTCAATAATAAAATTAATCCTCAAAAATACAACTTGCCTAATAATTCTGCACTCCCTGTATAGCCTCGCAATTTTGCAGCAGCCGGTGTCCATCCAGACATCATTTTGGCTCGGAGGTGCATGGAGAGCGAAAAGGATGGAAATCCGCCACAAGGTAAATATGTTTGTATAATTATTTCTAGCCTAACAACATCATTCAGGTGCGGCTATGTGTTCGCTCCACTCCTGTATTATGACCCAACC